AACCAGACATTAAATGAATCCATAGTTTTAAAAGTAACAATACCAATAAAAAGACAGCACCGGTAATCCTTTATGCAGTCAGCTCTCACACATCAGTTAATACGGCTACTGCCAGAGGCCAAAGCCAACGGTTTACAAACAAAGACTACAATATTGCAATGGTTTCGCATAACGTTCGAGGGAACACGGAAATCGACGACAGCCGAAGTGAGTAATCGAATTCCGCACACGGTTATTCGACGCACGAGCCCGCGCCCGGACGCGATAGAACGACCAGTGTAGAATTTAGTGATTTCCTCCTAACATCTGACCGAGGAAATAAAGTGGTTTTTGTTTTTTTTTTAATATTTTTATTTAGAACTGGCCAGCACTTGACTGCCATCCCATCTAGTAAGTGGTTTTGTGTTATTATTGCTGAGTTTATCAATCAATATTTACTCTATCAATACATCCACATCAGTCAATAAAATTTATATCAAATCAATAATGAAACATTCGGGGTTTTCGGTATTCTGAAAAGATTAGTTTAGAATTACAACAAATCAATATTAGAAAAATCATCATGCAAAGCAAGCTAAAGACATATTTGACATATTTCTATTAAAACATGTAGAAAAAGTACGAAAAGATTGTCGCCGCGGAAATCGAACCCACGTCTCCGGCATTCGCAGCCTGACGCGCTAGCCACTGAGCTAAACGTCTGATAGCCACAGCGACGAAAATCTTAACGCTTTCTTTCTACATTGTTATTTTAGCATTTGAACATGTTTTAATGTTCAATCTTAAGTGCAGAGATTAGCACTATAAAAACCTTTAAAATTTATATCTCTATTAAATTTAAGTTTGTTTTTTGTACTTATGAACGACGGAGTCAAAGTCCGTTTCAGTAATTTACCAGAGTCGCGGAAGGCAGGAGAAAACTGCAGCCTAACGTTTAAATGTCATTATTGAATAGGTTTAAACACAAAGAATATTAGCAGGAGCCAAGCCATTGGTCTAGCCAGTGCAAGTTAATGAAAAGCTTTGAATTGAATGAAGAGCTTCTGGAAAACTTGTATCGCTTTGAAATTAATAACAAATCGTCGATTACAATAAGAAGACACACAGCCTCAATATCATTACTTGTTTGTTGGAATTACAGTTTGAACACACGTAGCAGTCTACCGTGGTAACGTTGTTAGCAACAAAAACGTTGTTTACGCTAGTAAAAGGGCCCGAGCAAATAGCCAGTGGTAGGGACGTGGACGGTAATAGGAAACTTCCGTCTAATGCCATCGAACAATGCTGCTTAGATGCGCATTGCATAGTGCAGATTGCGCCTCCGCTAAATGGCAGTCCTGCCTCGATCCGAACCCATAAACTCCTATCACCTTGTCTGAATAAGGCGTTGTTTACATTGATCAATTGAGAAATTTATTTGATAGGTTAAATTTGAACTTATTGTCTTTATTTTTTTATGTCATCGATATTGTCTAATCTTAGGTAGGTCTTTGAGTTCAAGTTTGTATCATTAAAGATGAAATGAAGTCGTACAATAGAATTAGAAAGCACGAGGGCAACTACGTTGATAGATTGACTAGAGCGATAAACATGCTATAGTGTAGATTTATGAATGAAGTTCACAAATCTATATTACACTTCCTATCCATATATCATTTAAATTCGAACGGAATTAAAGGTGATTACAATTCTAGAAAAAATATATAAAGGTGCTTTTTTTCAGTTACCTTTAACATAATTCCAACTAGTCCGTCTTTATATTATAAAACAATATCTAGCCGCACATCTATATCAATTTCTCTTCTAAAACTTCGCCGTACTTTTGCACTAGCTCGACTATAGACAATTTATATCCGTTAATGACCAATAACTCCCCCCTAATGCCGAGCTGGCACATTGTTCTCCGGGCACTACGTCAGGTGGCTGTCGGCGCTACAATGCATCGGCTACTGACACACGTTGATACGATTGTGAATAGGAATCGGTCCGGTTTGAATTTGATCAGTGGACCGCCCGATCCGCGATAGTGGCCCCCGACAGAGGGGGCAACCTATGCACCACGCGTCGAATCCGATACGGTCAATGGTAAGCCGTCAATGCAATAATAGATACATTTCGAGCGAGTGGTCCCGTGATGACGACGAATATTTTGATGTCTGGTACGCGCTGATGCGCTGCATTGTGTTTCCGTAATGCCAATTGTGTGATGTTCTGATTAAATTTGAACGATTTTAGTGCTGCGTTTTGGCTCGTCTTTAGGATAACTACCTAAATTATTTTACACGTATTTTAAATCGTCAGTTGTGTCGCAATTACCTACATAGTGATTTTTTAGTCATATAATTTATTTTTCAAATCCGTCTTAAATATTTAAACATCGTTCTAAGTTAATTATAAATACAGATTTCATATTGATGTCTTATTCAGACGCAGCTTCAATAAGGGATATGTATTATAGGATGGGGATTACGACCCCCACCCCGCTAAATCGAAATAGTGTCTTAAAATAAACTTATAGGGTCTGGTCTCTTCTCTTACCAATATTAAAGTTAAACTTATCCAATACTTAATTTAACTTTCTTATTTTTCGTAATACTTTCGATGTTAAATCCTGCAGAAAAATCTATCGGCTTCATTCAAACTTAAGCCCGTGCCGATTGGATTGTCTTTTAATGAGATACGACGTTTACCTATGGCGCTATTACCAGTTTGAATAACAGAAACGCTTAAATCATTTCATACAAAAATCGGCTAACTGCTCAGCTCACATAACCTCATCATACATATGTTAACACGCCCGGAACATAAAACGTAATAATCCGCCGTCACCCGAAGACCCAGGAAACGTAGGCATCCGTGACGCGGGGCGCAGACATCGATAACCCTCCATTCCAAACATAATGTTCACATAATTGGCGTAACATTTCCATTGCGAACCCTTTCAAGACGCCCGTAATGTTACGGCCTACATGTTATTTAATTACGCAATCTCGAGTACAATGAGAATCATACCGAGACGGGGGAAGTGACGTCATCAAGGAACTTGCTCGACGATTTTGTATTTATTTTTAATATTCAACAAAATAATAAATTTCAGTGTGAGTAACAGTGATTATGCATACAAAAATTTGTTCTTCTCGATGAGTTATATTGTTATCTTTCATGTTTAAGTAATCGTAAGTAATACACCGTATTCTATTAGTAGTAGATATTAAAGGAAGGCTTGTGTAGTGATTTGTATAAAAGTAATCTTGATATTTCAAATGTAATTGAAAACGAAATGATTTCCGTGTACAATATAGGTAACTCAGTGTGAAGCCCCAAACATCTTTGACTTCCCCACCCTTCGGAGTAACTCGCATAACATCCTTTACTGATGAACGAAGACCCTTAAAGGGTTCGCCTTCTTAGAGTCAATATTCATTGTATAACATGTCCAGCTCAATTATAAACGGATAAATCACAGTGGTAGGGTAGGAAATAGCTAGTAAGTCGAAAATGGATGATTTCACAGTTCGCACATAACAGATGTGTTTACAATTTACGAAGCTATCGGAATTAAATGGAATGAATATTTATTTATCTAGATTTTTTATAAAATAATTTGATTGTATTGTAGATTACCTTCGATTTATTTTATTGTTGAATTTTATCGAAATGACTTTTAGAAAATATCATTTACTATTTTTTTCACTCAATAATATAAAACCTTCATCAAAATATTGAAAAGCTTTGTTATTTTAATAACAATTTAAAAAAATCATGGTAAGCGATTCGTTATTCTCTTAGAAATATTGGCAATCAATTTAATACCACTATACTTCCATTCGGTGTATCGCTGTTTAAATCGAATGGGGCATTACCGGTGTACTAGATTCCTACGCGATACTGGACTATTCAATACAATATCTATTATGAATGGCCGTGCGCTTCATGGACGTTGATTAGCCCTGTTGGTCTAGTCCAATTTTCATGGTGGACTTCGATCCACCGCCCTGATTGATTGTTATTGCAGCAGCCTCACTACCATATAATGGCCAACATTTCATTAGCTAATTCCAAAACGTACGCAATCAGAAATCGCTCGAAGCGAAACACTAAGATCATTGATTATATTATATTTATACTATTAAAAAAATTATATGAAAGAAATACTAAACTCATGATATAAGAATTGTCAATTATTATACGTCTTATTTTGAATTAATTGACTTCATTATTAAGTTATAAAAATATTTATTTAAAGGAAAATACATGTTTTGTGATTTATTTTTATAAAGTAATATAATAGAATATTCGTGCCGGGCGTTTTCAATCTGTGGCATTGTGAAAATGAAAAAAAAAAAAGATTGTGTCCATGCTCGGGGTCACTTTTAAAATATGTATGATCGATTCGGTATACCAATAAATGCTGGTCGGCTTTGCTTTTGTAACTAAAGGCGTAATTCATAGGGCGGCCGCATAGAGCGCTATCTGATGATTGGTTTTTGGCAATTAACAGTATTGCTCACATCCCAAACGCGTTCATTCACCGTGTGAAATATGTATGGGATGCGAATATCCACCTCCTCTTTCGGTATGTATTGTTTCGTAGTTGTATAACGAAACAGTTTTTACGAACGGTGTATAGAAACACGACGATAACGTATCAAATAGCATTGCAGTAGTTAAATAACCTATCTTGTATCTTGTATTAACTGATGTTTTTGCTTTCAAGCCCGAGACTATTAAAGCTTAATTAAATAACTTATGTCATTATTTCAGTTAAATTCGGCACGAAAGTAATACAAAATTGTGTAATAAATATTAAAATCGTACATAAATCTCAGTCACTCTGTTAAATATAGCTAATTGACTAAATTTCTCATAAGGTCGTTAGCCTTTAATTAATATAATAAAAGTGGTCTTTTTGTCGGAATTGAACAAATTGGAAAGCAATAAAACCCTGTGAAGTAGCGTAACTCACCGGTACCGGTGCCGGTGTCTTGTCACAAAAGTCAGAAAACGAAAGCTTTTTCTGTAAACGAAAGGGAATTGTCAAAAAGCTTTTACTAAAGCTATAAGAACGGTAAACGGTCTATCAGATCCATTAACAGCTTTAGCGCAAACATTACAAAACACTGCGGTGACCTAAAATCGTCGCAAACGTAATTGATAGTGGCAGTGCATGACGGGAAGCCGACTGGAAATTTAGGTATGAAATCGAAAATGTTTATTTTTTCACCAACTTAATGAGGTGATGTGAGATGTATATATCAGCTTGTACCTAATCATAGTAAATACTTGTTTGAACGTCTTACGTGATAAGAAAAGATAACATCTTTATGTGTATTTGAAGTATTAGTGCTTGTAAAAATTATATGTGTATTAAATTGTGAAGCCTCTTACTTAAAAACTACGAGGAATCTTTCCGTTTCAGGTTTAAGTTCACATGTAATTGCGAAGAGATAGCATGTTCTAAGTTAATCGACGTATTTATTTTCTTTCTTTATCTTTTTGACAAAGTTGTTAACGTACAACGTATTTGTTGTCAAACTGGGTTTAGTGAAACCCTTTTGTCTTAAGACATCAGGCCACTGTCACCGTTCCGCTTGGCATTTGTTCAAAGGTCGCGCCAACTTAGTTTGCTTTCCTTTTACTTGTTACAATACTCTTTATAGACCGAGAAAGAGTGGTATTGTTTGTTTGGAAATTAACCTTTACGTTTGCTGAGGGCCAAATTTCGGTCTTAATATTTACAAGTTGTAGGGTAATGTCGTTATTGTACTTAAACCACCTATCTGTAAAATATAACCTAACCTTAGTTATATTTAAACGTATTGTTTATTGTTTTAATAATACTTCTGAAGTAAGGGAGGAACCGATGTTTGGAGAGTTGCTATAATAATTCTTAATATCACTAACAATTTGGCAGATTTGGATAGGATTTGAATATGAATATGCTAATAATATGAAAATAAGAATTTAATTATAATCAAAACAAAGTCCATTAACTAGAAACCTGTAACGTGTCTTAACGTGAATAGGTACAAAGAAACAATTAAAGAAACCTAGCACGTTACAGACAATTATGGACAAGTGGAGCGATAAGCGGGTGGCACGGAAAGAAAATGGCCAACAGAACATAAGACGCCGGTTATCGAAACACGAGAAAATAATAGTTTTAATGTTGGATATAAATAACACGCCGTGGAGGAAGACAATGGTCTCGTAATAAGATCTCCTGTTAATTTTGGCGAATGCGGGGCGAGCTCGTGATCGGAGATTTATGAAGGCATTGAAATTACACCTTGTTTGTTCTTTTCACGCCGGTACATGTCTAAGACTATCAGGCAGCGGGAATTTTGCGATTTATTTCGTAGACGGCGCGCTTGGACGAGCTTTTAAACGTTAGCTATTTCGGATTGTATTTTCTATAGTTGATTGCGTTTCAATGTATCTATTTACCTTTTGAAATTAGTTTTTAATCTAAATTATTACTTAAGTTATTTCAAACAGTACTTACCTCTCATTTTTTGTTCGTCCAGTAATTGCCTCTCCATGTTGTCTTTCACTTCCCTCTCTCTGAGTACATCCATCTTCAGTTCGGCTGTAACAATAAAAACATTAAATTAAACTTTAGCTCCACCTTGTATGTAGATCAGTGTGTTAAGAAATCGCAGGAGAGCTATGAGATAAATAACGATTGAAGCTAAATAGACGTTTCATTGTTCGTAAAAGGTATTGTATAAATTTAACAGAGAGTTGAACCCGTAACAAGGCCGTCAGCAAGGGGCCGATTAGGAGCATAAACACGGATTAACTCATTCGGAATCCCGGTACCATTGTGAAGGAGTCGGATTGGGAGATTTGCATAACTTTCAATTAAATCTAACCTGACGGAAATTATTGGGGGAGGAAGTTCCGATTCGGTTATGTTTTGATCGTGTTTCGAGTGCACTTCGAGCAAGCACCTTAGCGGGGCAGAACCAGATATTAAATAATATTACGCTCATCGTAATTTATACCTGAATATATTTAGAATTTATTTGCATAATATTTTGAAATTGCACCATATAGAAACATTGACCAAAAGAATTTTTAAAATGTTATTTGTATCAATTTAGAAGACAATTAAAATCATTTGATTGACAAATCGATTTAAAGAAATAGTTGATAAGGGTTAATTAGTGCCATCGAATTACACTGAACAAAACTTCTTTATCTACGCGTGTATATAAACGCCATTGGTTTAAGCGAACGCATCAAGAGCGAGTTGAATTTGAATAGAAAGAGGTCACAGCGGCTCACAGTTTAATTTGGTCCCTTATTCAATTAGCCACCTTAGTAGCGTCTATCTAATGGGGGTCGTAAGGGATCAGGCTGATTAACTCGCGTTGTTAGCACCTACGGCTACAGCGCCTCATGGTGATTTTATTCGTAAATCTGCAAAGCTTTGTTCTCGTATCATTCCGAATCTTCGCCAACGAGGCGATGTATTTGCAGAATGTGTTCGGATATTTCGTCGCCATCCACCGGTCGCTTGTTTGCGCATAGTTTAAGCTTTTTGTGATGTTTCAAAGTTATTTCGGCTGAAAACTGATTAATTATTCAGTTTTAGTTCGGCCACGAATGGCTCTATTATCCAGTTAAATTACAATTTAATTAGAACGTAATTAAATTGTATTTTTTTTGTGTGTGATAGATCTCGAGTGCAGCTTTATTAAATGGAGGTTATATAATTTAAAAATACTATGATTAGCAATGTGTACCAGTTAAATTTATATTACAAAATATTATACATGCCGCTCCAAATGATGATATAGCAGAACCTCTTTAGATGTAACTTTGCGTCCAACTAACAACTTAACTAATAAAATTTTATCTTATAAAAGTACGACATCAGAACTATGTACAAGCCTGCTGAGTGAATAAATTTAAACTAATTCAATTTAAAGTTTACGTTGGATAACTGAATTAAATTTCTTATCAACTGGTGTAATGAAATATAAATTAGTTGACAAGTGATAAAAATGTTGTAAGTTAATTAATTTTTTTAGTGTCTATTTAATAAAAAAAACTCAACGATAACTATTTAGTTGACAAATCATTAATGACTTCAGTACTATATTCGTTTTCAATTTTCCAAAACTTGTCAAATACTATGACTTTAATTAGACATAATACCAATACTAGGATCATACCTTTTATGTATTGTAAATGAAATGAAAAATTAAATAATAATTTTAACTATACTTATAATAAAAAAAATTACTTTGAAATAAAATGACTATCTATTCTTAGTTATACGTTTAAAAAGCGTTAGTAGTCAATTAATTCATTGCAATGAATTATCAAGTTCAGATTTCCTTCATGTATCTTGAGCTCGCAACGACATTATGGGCCCGCAACTATCGTGTTCCATTCAAAGAGATTTGTTGCGCCAATTATTATGTAGGGTATAATTAAAATTGCCATTTAGGTGAATAATCCTATAGAAATGTGCGTCATTTATAATACGTAATTATAACATGACTATTGTTGTGTTCGTTAAAGGAGTGCGTTGATTGTTTATTCGTAGGTACAGCTCTGTTAAAATATTGATATTCGTTAGCAACTATTAGCATTTGAATGTTAAGGAAGAATACATCAATTACTGAATATTTAATATAATAAATAATTAAAAGCATTATAATCACAATTTAGTTTCAATATTGATCACATTTATGTTAAAAAATACGACATGCAGGTAAATGAAACAATGTTACGCATCTTTTCGTGTGTTTTAAGGTGAAGTGTTGAGTGGCAGTTGTGTGACTCTCTTCAAGGGCATCATAGAGAAGAAGATTCGTGACTATTCCTCAAAAGAAAGTTACGTTGTCAATTTTTGAGTGTTTAGTACGCAGACTTTTGGCTTGGTCACTATCGAATCTAAAATCTATACGAAGCGGGGACGTAGCCCCTTCTGAATCTCGTTCCGTATCGAAAACAATAATCTGTACGATAATATGGAGACAAGTTAACTTGTGTCCGACCAAGGTACGTAATAAGCCAGCTAAGCGAGTGCTGGCTCCCGACGGATTATCGCGAACTCTGATCTTGTAAATTGAATCGTTGTCTTGCGCATTGTGCCGCTCGATACTTTGTTTCGACCTTTTTTAGAAGAATACAACCTTCGGTATTTATATTCGGTGCTTTAATGCCCTCTGACTGCGGTTTATTTCTACTATAAAGCAGTCAAATATCAGATGAGTGAATGAACGCGAGGAATTATAGACCATGCGCTAATGTGACGATATAAAATATGTTTCATAATGTTAAACGTTTGATTTAAGAACGAAAACGGAAGCTCCTCAGAGAAGAACTCTGTCTTTGGACATTTCTTCGCCGTTTCCGAAAAAGAGGCCGATGTTGATGAGAAAATCCATCGACGGTTCTTCGAGCGATAGCCCCGAGATTAATTTCGAATCAATCCCGCAGTATGGTGTAATTTAGTGGGCTTTTAGTCGAGAGCGGTTTCGCACATGAGACGTAAATTACTTGAACCGGGGGACGGTCATTAAGGGTCCGTGTCGGCATGCGGCGTATCTCAGCATCTCGCGATTTGCGAGAGGAGGCGCCTTAACAAAAGATGGTCCCGGTGGTCCGCGTACTTAGCTATCTATTCTCTTATTGTTACAAGCGCTCGTGCCGCTTGCCATGCTCATTAAATTGCCTAAACTTCGACGTGGCCTACGAGTATATTTGCCATTCAAATTCCTGATTCCTTATGATTAATTCGAAGTGTGTATTAGGTGAATGGCATTGGTAAACACAACGCACAGAAATGATTCAAAGCGACAATTTTTATTAAGCCATTTTCCTTGATTTCCGAATGTTTAATTTGAAGGTTTCGAAATTCTAGGATTGAAATAACTTCATTTAATGAACCAGAACTTGTAATATATAGAGAACACGATATATAGAGGAATTCTTGTACGTATGTCGCAAATTTCGTGTGGTATTATATCTTCAGATATTACCACGCTATCAAGCCACGAAATTCAATTTTACATACTATCTCAGACATCGTTTAAGTCTGAGCCCCACTGATAAAATGTGAGCGGGTTTATCAACAAAAAAAGGGAGAAAAGTGTACCGAAAGAACAGAGCACTCAATTATTAAATCGATCTTTATATCAGATCAATCAAATTTAAAAACCTAATAGAGTTGAGGCCGACGAGAAATTATTACTTTATAAATAAAATAACAATAAAAACGACGCAGCGTCCGACGGAATATGTAATTATGGACAATTATTATTATAACGAAAACCGAGCCGATGCAACGGCCGATAGATTGCTGGAAGGATCGAAACCCATAAACAAAAGGATCCATCGGTTACGCAATTTAAAGTCCCGAGTTATTAGCATGTACTGTGACCGTTTCAAAAAAAAAAAACGGTTAAACGTAACTGCAAAAAACGATTAACCGAACGACGGAGACGTCTCTCGTCAGCCAACACGATTTCCGAATCCGGAAGGGTCGCGGCAAATTCTATTTCTATTCAATTTCATGCACTCAGTAAAAGAAACATCTATATTTAAATTCAAAATGTACACAACCTTAGCGAGCTTTGCAGCGAAGTCAAATGAAATTTTGTAACGACGCGCAAAACAATTTAGAACCTTTTCGAGTTTCTATAATGTTAAAACAAAAACAAAGTTAACTCCCAATATCTCTTTATTGTTTCACATATGTATATATTACCTTTAATTACCGATTTGCGGAAATTAATTATGTAATCTTCACAATAACATAGTAGCATTGCGTTTTATGCAATTCTGCAAACAAGCGAAGCAATTTAATTTCAATGAGACATAAGTCATAGGGTGGCGAATTAAGACATATTTTCACGGACCCCACCTCAGCGAAGACTAAGTTGAGCTTGCAGTTAAAATAACAATTAAAGTCCGGCTAAAATTTACGACTCAAAACTGTTTAAATAATTTAAACGAACGATAAGGTGCTCGCAACGTAAATGGGTCTTTGAAGAGGAAAACAAAAGGTAACCATTCAGGGCTCCCTTCGTCGAGCGTTTGGTCGTTTTCAAAGCGAGTGAAATGCGGGAAGCCTCCAGTTGGAATAAAGGTGAAATTTTAATAGTAACACCATAAGGAAATATTACTGAGGAATATTGCCGACTTAAGTGCTCTAAAAAGCGATGATAAACGCATTTCGGATTGAGAAATCAGATTTAAAGTCTGTGGGGAAATTTGACAGATTGCCTCGCCCATGAAACAAAACAAAGTGGATTGTCTAAATTCACGAGACTGTTAAATGGCGAATGTAAAGTAACGATAATGCTTGTTATGGCGCGGAAAACAAATATCCCCTTCCCGATACTTTTTAAATTCTCAAACCGGCGGCAATTCTGTTTTATTGTTATTAGATTTTTCCGGCTTATGTCACACGGCAGTGTCACTGCGGTGGATTACTCCCGCAGTCTCCGCGCTAATAATCATAAGAATCGCTACCCCATATAATGTGGAAAATTTGGAGCGGTGTTTTTTTTTTTACGGCCAACAGTTTTACGAATCTATCCCCCTGTTCCGTTCGAATAAGGGCGC